ACCAGGCTGTGGAGTATTCAGACTAAGGCTTAGCGGTGGGAAGAATCAGAGAGAGAGAGGGAGAGAGAGAGAGAGAGAGAGAGAGTGAGAGTGAGAGAGAGAGAGAGAGAGAGAGAGAGAGAGAGAGAGAGAGAGAGAGAGAGAGAGAGAAAATCTGTGTGTGCAAGGCGAGAGGGGGTGAGAGAGCAGACGAGAAAGAGACAGGAACAGGTAAAGAAAAAGACAGAACATACAGTGACAGAACAGAGAGTGAGAGACAGAAAGAAAGACAAAAGAAAGAGATTGAGAGAGAGAAAGAGACAGAGCAAATGAGAAGGAGGGAGAGCATGAAAGTGAAGGGGATGCAAGACAGATAGCAACAAATAGAGAGGACAATAGAAGATATAGTAACAGATGAAAGAGAATCGGGTGAGAGAGGGAGAGCAGATAAGAGGAATAGATATATATATATATATATATATATATATATAGAGAGAGAGAGAGAGAGAGAGTAAGCAAGCGAGATAGAGACAGCAACAAGCAGAGAGAAACAAAAATGTAGTGACAATAAAAAGGGAGAGAGAGAGAGAGAGAGAGAGAGAGAGAGAGAGAGAGAGAGAGAGAGGGAAAGCAAAAGAGAGAGGGAGCAAAATAGAGAGAGAGAGATGAAGAGAATATCTGATAGAGAGAGAGAGAGAGAGAGAGAGAGAGAGAGAGAGAGAGTAAGAGATATAGAAACAAATAGAGAGTGAGATATAGAGTGGCAGAGTAGAGAGATATAGAGAGAGAATGTGGGGGTCAAAGAGGGGGAGAGAGATAGCAATTGATAAAGAGAAAAAAATAGAGGATGTAATAACAGAAGACAAAAGACAGAGAGAGAGAGAGAGAGAAAGAGTACGAGTGCAGTGAGAGAGGGAGAGCAAGCAAGAGAGATAGAGAAATTAATAGAGAGAACGAGAGAGAGGGAGGAGAGTGAGATAGAGAGACAGAGAGAACGAAAGTCAGATATAGAAACAAATAGAGAGCGAGAGATATAATGGCAGAATAGAGAGAGAGAGAGAGAGTGTGGGGGTCAGAAAGAGATTGCAATTGATAGAGAGAAAAACAGAGGATATAATAACAGAAGAGAAATAGAAAGAGAGAGAGAGACAGAGAGAAAGCGAGAGAGCGAGAGAGAGTCAGGTGCTCTGTGCAGCACTGCCCCCAGTGGATAGCGGATTCGCTCCTGTCAGCATGTCTGCTGTGAGAGAGGAGAGAAAGAATGCACTTGGAGAGAGGTAGAGTGTGTGTGTGTGTGTGTGTGTGTGTGTGTGTGTGTGTGTGTGTGTGTGTGTGTGCATACACGCTCACTAAAGAGGTCAAGAACTCTTTTAACTGTGTCAGCCGAACATTCGTAGATTACCAAGTGCGAGTTTATGCCGCCAGAATAGGAAGAGAGAATTACAGAGCGCCTCTGAAAGAGAGATAAACTGACAGCTACACAAACGAGGGAGCTGAACAGGTAGATAAAAAGGACGAATAAAGATGCGAGAGTGGAGAAAATATTTTGAAAAGGGTGTTCATAGAGCAAGAGAGAGAAATGGGAGAGAGCGAGAGACTTTGGACAGACGGCTCTGCCTGCGGTGTGTCGGTACTCTGTGCTTGACTCCGGCAAGCTTCTGGCCCGCTGTGCCCCATCAGTCACTTCTCACGACCAGGTGTGTGTGTGTGTTTGTGTGACTGTGAGAGAAGGTGCCCTATATATACCCTCAGTACTTGACAAAAACTCAATACTGACTTTTCCATGCTCCAGCAGCAGCTATTGGACTATCTCTCTCTCTCTCTCTCTCTCTCTCTCTCTCTCTCTCTCTCTCTCTCTCTCTCAGCATTCCTCTCTCTCTCTCTTCTTTTTTCTCACTCCAAACAAAAGGTCTCCCTTTCTTTCTGCTGACAGTGGCTGCCTCCATAAACAGAGCAATAATTTGTGAAACACAATTTAGCCGCGAGCGAGCAGGGCCTCGCGGGACAGCCCGGCCATGCAGATTCAGGTTGTTATCTGGTGTTTACCTGCCTGGGCTGCTCTTTCCTTAAATTACCACAATAACACAGTTGGCTGCGCTGCGGACGCTCCCAGAGCACACGCTCTGAGCTGGAGCGGTGGCTGAAAACGGGACCTTTGTAACTGCAGTTGAGGAAGTTTAATTGGTCGTCACTGGATCATCGTCTCTACACTGAAAATAATGATAGGCCAGCAAGTGAAACCATCCTAAAAATGGAATTTCACTATTTTTCATTATTTCTGCCTTGAGATACTAAACTTATTCGAATAGATTTGACGTGAAATGGTCTATTCTAGAACTGTTCACAGTGGTGGTGATGGGAGCCAGATGTCTGTCTTTAATGCCTCTAATATTGTCATAGAAAGCTATTATTTTACATTGTTTTGCAAGAGTTTTGCCACACATTTGTGGGTTAACATTTGTTTTATTGGATCGTTTCATTCAGATAGGAGTTAAAAGGCAAAATAGTCCTCAAAGAAAACTATTTTTTTTTTCAGATTTACCAGTATTTTACCACTCTCAGCAGTACCTACAAAACTCAAGACATGTGGGTCAGTTTGTATACCTAATAAAATGCTATGTTTGTGTTGTAGACATCACCACCCCTGCTATCACCACCCCTTTAAAGAAATCTGTGCTAATAATTTTCTCAACAGTGTGCCATTTTACGTCAAACCACCGTCTCGTTGAAAAAAAAAACATTAAACAATCAGAAGAATTCTGCTGTAAATGTGGGCACTATATCTGTAAGAATAGGTTATTCAACCTGCTTTGAGACATTTGTACATAAAGTGAGCTTCTCCAGTTCACTTATCGTGCAGATCATTTATCTTTCAAGCATTATTATTTTAAAACAAGATCATTTCACTTCTTAATGACTTAGAACAGGAAATAAGTCCAGATATTAGGAGCCACACTGATATCAGAATCATCAGAATTGTCTTAAAAGATACAACAGCCTTCAACCAATATTTAGATTTGGCTGACATTTCAAACTGATACTTGGTGATGTTTATTATACTCTGTGAGAGCAAAACATGCAGGCAATGCCAGGCTACTGTTCATAAATGTCTGAATTTTATAGAATCTACTGCATTTGTAATATGTTACAGTATTTTCCTAATGCTCATCCCGAAGTAGCCCCAGTTTGTACACTTGATGAGTGTTTATGTATTGGCTGGTATGTAAATAAAAAAAAAAATACTGGATGTAGAAAATAGCTCACAGTTCACATCATTACTGAATATTCTTACAACATTCTTCATACACATGCCGCAATATAATTTTTACAATGCTTAAAGTGGATAAAGTTGCCCACACAAATTTTCTCAAAGATTCTAAGAAAGCCAACGAAGGACACGCTAGCATTCTGCAGCTTAGAAAATGCCGTTCAATACTGTCTGGCCATCTTTTCTGGTTAAATGAAAAGGCTGATTGTCCTGGGAAATTATTGTCGGTCATACTGGGGCTGTAAGCAACAATCCCCAATACTGGTTCTTGAGGGTCCCTTGTTCTGCACATTACTCTTTTCCTGCTTCAACTATAAATAGGAAAAAAAACTAAAACTATAACTCTGGTTATTAGCTGAGTAGCTGGATCTTGTGCGACAAACATGCAGAACCAATGAACAAAGGGGACAGGTTGTAATCAAGTCACTGCCCTAGCAAATCTGAGTTGCTATAAAGACAATAAAGAAGTTCTAGCACTTCAATCTGCTCCCCGCTGATGGATAAATAAGCAAATAAATAACCTAAAATGACAGCGCAAAAAGAAGAAGAGCTTGGCAGGAGGTCCACGGACATAAAACCAGGTCATAAAAAGCGGCAACCTCTTGAGACTCCGTAAACAGTAGAATAACGAACTTCTGAAAGATTCTTCAGTCAGTTTTCATTGTGACACTAAGTCAGACTATATCACAGAGGTAGTGTAGCTAGTGGAGAAAATAATGAGCGCCTGAAAACAAACAGCGAAACTTTTGATAAGCCCAATCATTAAATTCACACTCTGGGTTGTGTGAGCTGTATGGTAATCGCGGCTTCTTGGAGTCAGGCGGGCAGGCACGAGGCAGGGAGAGAGAAAGAAAGAGAGAGCATGAGCAAGCAAGTATTTTGAAGACCTGCTGGGGTGGCTTGCCCCCCCCTCGCTCCCAATCCCCAACTGTCAAAGCTCTACAGCTATGCGCCTTCGGAGCAGAAAAGGCTCAACTTGGCTTTTTGTTAATACCAGATTTGAAGAGGACAGCCTGCGCATACACATTCTCCCATGCACACGCGCTCTGAAAGGGTCCGGTTGTGCTGCTCGTCCAGAGCGAAGAGGGTCACGGTCTGAATAGAAGCCACAGGGTTTCTACGACCCTGCCACACTTTAGGATTAGCTGATAGTCCTGTTTTGGGTCGCTGGCCACCGGAAAAAGGGAAACAATTGGCCGTCTATATTCACCCCTAGTGCTGGACCGCTACTTTTACAAGCTGACCCAGAGTGGCCAGCCCTACATGGGGGGGCTCGATGATTAGCTTTCAAAGAAAGAAACCACCTCCTACACCCCCAAAAACCCTATACCTAAACACATTGTTCAGCACTATCGTGCTCTGGTCAGGGGAAGAAGAGAGTGCGGACCAAAACATAGCACGCACATGTGCGTATCCTGTGTCATGGGAATGATGAAGTGCCTGCCACACTTGGGTAAGTCTCTAAGCTAACGTGGCTTGTGATTGCGCTAAATCTGGTTTAATCAATAAGAATAAGCACAGGGACAGACTGAAATGAACAGACAAACAACGTAACCACTGAAAATATTCATTTTGGCTGTTGAATTGAGTAACTGAGCTGCTCTGAACCCCTTAAGTCCAATGTTATCTATCAAGTTTAGCTCTAAGAGACTTCAACCAACAGTCTCCTGGACAGCGCGAATGCATTAACAACAGAAACAACAGACACGCTAGACAGCGCCAAGCGTCCGAAAACAAGACCCGGGCAGCTTACCGTGACCTGTCAGGCACAGGAGCAGGAGGATCCCCCTGATCATCTCAGCTGAAGGGGGCAGTGACCTCTGAGGCTTTTGGTTGGGAGGGTGGGGGCGTGTGCGAGACCTTAGGAAGTTCTCACGCACTCACGCACACTCGCGCAGCAATCTTCGGGCAGCGGAGCCGCTGATCTTAGTCCCTCGCTGAATCCTCTTAATGAAGAAGCACCCTCTGTCTTTTAGCACTCTGAGGTCTTGTTCTTTCTCTTGGCTGCTCTTTTTCTCTCCTTCTCAGTCTTTCTTTTGAAGGGGAGACTCTCTCCTGTTGATGTGCCGGAGACTCTCTCACGCTCTCGCGTCTTTCACACACTCTGCCGTTCCATTCTCCGAGCATCAGTGTCTCTCTCGCTCACCCCTCCCTCTCTCCCTCTATCCCCCTCTCTCTCCCTTCTCTCTCTCACTCGCTCAGTGGAAGAGCCAGTGGAAGACAGGGGTGGGGCTGCCGGGAGGCCCCGCCCCCTGGCTGGAGCTGAGCGTAGCAGAAGGCAGGAGCTGATTTTGGAGAACAGGGGCTGCTGCGAAAGAGAGAGAAGATGCAACGCATAGAAAGGGTTGGAGAAATAAGAAGGTAAAAAGAAATATGATATGTGGGAAATAGAAGAAAAGGAAAAGAGTCTAAAAGGAAACAGAAAGGAAGGGAGATGTCGGAAGGTAAGAATGCAAAAGGGGTAAGAAAGAAAGAAAGAAATCAAAAAAATAAATTAGCAACAGTAAATGAAAAAAGAAAAAGGGGCTTAGAAAGTGAAGAAAATCTAAAACAAAAAAACAAACAAACAAAAAAAAACAAAAAGAAAGTAGACAAATTGCTAACCGGAAAGAACATAGTGACAACGCAAAGACATAAAGAAAAAACAAAAGGATGGAGGAAAGAAGAGAGGTAAAAATTTAAAACCAAGAAAGTAGGAAACTAAAAGAAGACAAAGAAGGAAATTGGGAAAGAAAGAAAAACTCTAGAAAAAAAAAAGCAAAAAGAAAATCAGTAAGAAAGAAAGAGAAACAAGGGGTGAGAAAATCTAAGAAGAAGAGAATCTAAGAAGAAAAAATGCTAGCCAGAAAGACACCGAGCGAGAAAGAAAGAAAGCAGAAGAAGAAGAAAAGGCGAAAAAGAAAAGGGGGGCAGGCGAGCGGGCAGCTCCAATTAGCCTTAACAGGCAGCAGCTTGGGCCCTGGGCTCCTTACAGAACAGACCCACAAACAAACAAAAGCGCAGCTTTCCTCTCTGGCACGCTGCCCACTCACAGCCCGAGTGACGGGGCCTTCTGAGCCTAAATCAGTGTGACCGTGGTCAGCGGTGAGACAGAGGAGGAGGAGTGCGCACACAAAACTTCAGCTCCGAGTCCCATTAGATTCGTTAGCTGCGCATTTCGAAATGAGAAAAATAGATTTCTAGTCCATCATTGGATTGACCTCTAATGTAGATGTTGTTAATCTCTGTAATGCATGGCTTGCTAACAAGCAACGTTTCACACATTAAATATTTCATGAAGCCTTTTCTGCCTCCTGGATCAGCCGTTCTTCATGACGGGGTAGGCCAAGTCTACGAAACACTGCTGGAAGTAACAACCATGTTATTTAAAGTCCTATTGGGCAAAGAAATCTCCTTAGGATTTGTGTAAATTATTTATAAATAATCACACGGCTTGGGCACACTTGAAATTCTTGGGTGTGTGTACGGGGATGTTTGGTGAGAAACTAGTTTTTGAAGTTTAAGAGCTGAAATCTGTGAAATCAGATGGATTTGAGAGTAGGGCAACCACTATTAATTCTGATCAGTAATCAAGTAATCAATAAAATGAAATGAAATCCAAACATAATGAGCTGAAATAAAACCTGAGCAATAACAAACCATACAGAGAACACGTGGAGCTTTCCTACATTTCTCTTGTATGTAAGTTTCCCCCTGAGGTCCACTTATGAAATTTGCTTCCTTTTTTTTGTACCAAAATTAATGCTAATTTAATTTTACATAAACATTTTAACCTCTTCTACCCACCTTTAAAATTATACTGGCTATTTGTGTGCCTTCATATATGGATCTTTTTAATGAATTGGTTCAAAGTCAGACTTCCAAACATATTTCGGGCTTGGACTGACTTTAGGCTAAAAATCCTTTACTTTGAGTGACTATGCCTTAAATATGTTTATTTTATTAAAACAAATGATTGAACATTGAACATTTTGTCGCTACCAAAACTTAATACTACATGAAATAAAATGTTTTGGTAGTGACACTTTTGGTAGCATAACTCAAAAACGCTAGCCAGCACACGTACAGTTGTACACACATAAAATTGTTTGTCATTAAAATAATAAAAAATAAATAATCCTTGTAAAAATCAAAGGTGGCAGGCAGCACTGCATTGAAAACAGGTATGATTCTGTACTGGAAATCACTGCATGGGCTCAGGAACACTCCAAGAAATCACTGTCTGTTAACACAGTTTGCCATGCAATCCACAAATGTAACTTAAAGCTGTATCATGCAAAGAAGAAGCCGTTTGTCAACACAATCCAGAAACGCTGCCTTCTTCTCTGGGCCAAAGTTCATTTAAAATGGACGGAGGCAAAATGGAAGAGTTCCATGGTCAGATGAATCAAACTTTGAAATTCTTTTTGGAAACCATGGACGCCGTGCCCTGCGTCCTCAAGAGGAGTGGGACTATCCAGCTTGTTATCAGTGCAAAGTTCAAAAGCTTGTATCTCCGGTATGGAGTTGCATTAGTACCCATGGGCAGCTTACACATCTGGAAAGGCTCTATCAATGCTGAACAGTATATAGAGGTTTTAGAACAACATATGTTTCCATCCAGACAGCGTCTCTTTCAGGAAAGGCCTTGCATATTTCAGCAAGACTGGCCTGGGCAACACCTTCAGCTCTTCATCATGTTCCTCAAGCCATTTCTGAATAATATATGCTGTGTAGCAGGGTACATTATCCTGCTGAACAAAACCACTGCCACTGGGGAATACCATTGCCACGAAAGGGTGTACTTGGTCTGCAATGATATTTTGGTAGGTGGTACATGTCAAATTGCTGTCCATATGAATGTCTGGACCCAGCAGAAAATTAAGCCCAGAGAATCAAACTCCCTTTACTGGCTTGGTTTCTTTCCACTTTGCATCCTGGTGCCCTCATTTCCCCATGTAAATGTATACATACCTGGGTGTCCAGGTGAGGTAAAACAGAATGGGACTCCTAGGATTTGGAACTTTTAAGGGTGGACAGTGTTTAGCATGGGCACTCTGACTGGTCTGCAGCTATGCAGTCCCTATAAGCAACAGGGTGCCATGCCATGTGATTTGACACATTCCTCTGGTAACCATCAATAAAAATTTCTATGACTTGCACCACAGTAGTCCTTCTGTCAGCTCAGACCAGATGGGATAGCTTTCATTGCCCTCATGCATCAATGAGCCTTGGGCATCCAACCCTTGTAACCAATTCATGGACCACTGTCAGTAGGTACTCACCATTGATTGCCATTTCTACTAACTAAAATTAATAGAGTTTCAGTAGCTCCTTAAAACATGTCTATAATGTATTCACTCAGGGCAGGGGTCAGTAACATGTGGCTCCAGAGCCACATGCAGCTCTTTTACTGCCCTGTTGTGGCTCCACAGCAGAATTAGACTTGTATTTAAAAATAAAATAATCCTCCTTTTCAGTACAATAAAGCCTTGCCTATTGTTTTAGAACAGTTTTAACAATAAATGGACTTAAACACTGGTATTATCTGCTAATTCATCAACCTTTAACCTCGAAGATTGGTGCGCAGACTGCTGTTCACATAACAATGCAGACAACAGTCTCGCCTAGCTAGTAGCTAACGGAATGGTAAAGAGAAAGATTTAAGACAGGGATCGATAATTTGGAGACGAATTGACTTTTTTGCATTCGTAGGCTCTCCAGCCAGTTTCCTGTTACATTTAATCTGCGACAAGAAACTGTCAAACACTAAAAAGTCACAAAGCTGAAGTCAGTTTCTCATTCCCCAACTTCTTATCTTCACGTTTCACCTTAAATAGTGCCTGAAGCACCGAAAATGTAACTGCTGTACATTTAAGGTGGAACGGGAAAATTAAAACAAGAAGCTGGTGAATAAGAAGTTGACTTCAGCCTCAGTAAAAGTCAAACGTTGAGAGACATTTTGGAAGAAACTATTCTACTTTTGCAGAAAAGTTTCCTGCCGGAGATGCGAGAAAAACAGCTATAACTGAGCTAAAGTTTAAAGCAGAGCAAAGTAAGTCTGTGATTTAATTTATATTATATATATATTTTTAGCCTATACTAGGACATCAGCACATACTGAGACATATTAACAGCCAAGATGGTAAAATGGGCGTACAATGTTGTGGCTCCCAAAGTGGTTTGATTTTTGTAGAAAGGACAAAATGGCTCTTTTTACATTTAGGTTACCGACCCCTGACTCAGGGAGACATTAGAATTAGAATAATTAAAAGTTTTAACAGATTCAGAGCTTTTACCTGAACAGATAAATGCTGATCAAGAAGGCAATCATATGCATTAAATCATTTTTGTGAGAGATCCTCCTACTCAACACTGTGTCAACAACCCCTATTCTCCACTACATCAGAGTTTGTACACCTGGTTCATACCTAGAACTTAGGAGACTGTAAAAGAAAGCATTACCATTTTAATCACATAATCACCTTTAATCGTGTAATTCTGCCAGCTCTTGCTGAAAGATCTCTTTATTGCTCACTTGCTGTCCATCTGCCCATCTGTTTCCCTTTCTCTTCGTCTTTTTCTCATTAAAGCTGCAGTGAGATATGGACCTGTCGGCTAGAATGCCAATTCAAGGTGCTCTCTGAAGCAGTGGGAAAGTTTATTCGTAAGCTTCTCGATGTGGTCTCGAGCCTCGAGATCTTGTTAGCTCTGACAATCAATGCTTTCATTTGAGCAGATTTCAAAACAAGAAAATGCCCACAGACCGCTCCGTCTAGCTGCCGAAACAAAAGACAGGAATCAATATTTCATGAGAACGCTTTCTTTTCTTTGTTTGATTTTTTTTTTCCTGTGTCATGTTTGCCATGTTCTCAGGACTCCTACGTCCTCCCAATTTTCTGAAGTGTGAAATGGCAATATTTGTATTTACATCAGGGTCAGAAGTGTTAGACAATTGAAGTTTGGGTCTGCTATTGAAAAATGTTGGGAACAATATAGGGAGACATTATATTACCCTTGCAATGTGCTTAGCATGTCTTAATAAAACAGTGTTTGGCAAGTAATGCTGTCATTTATTACATTATTAAGGAGTAAACAGTGTGAATGACATATTTTGACTGGCAGTTTATGATTAGTAAGAAAAAAAAATATCAGGTTACCATTACCAGTAATTGT